CGCAGAGAGGGGGCCGCCGCCGCACCTGCCTCCGTGCCTGGCCGTCACGCTGGAGCTCCGCCCAGATCCACGCCGCCTGCGGAGGCGCTCCATAGCCGGATTCCGCTGGGGCGAGCTCGATGGAGCTGCTGCTGGACACTACTGGAAAATGCGAGTTTCCCTACCGTTTTTATTGTTCCCTACGGTTTTGATTAGTTCTAGGGAATGAAATGTTTCCCTTAGGGTTGCTTTTTGGAACCGTAGGGAACCTGGTGTTTCCCTAGGAAGTTCATGATTTCGTCGGGAGCAAGAAGAGTTGTAGTCCTTCAGCTGGCTGGGCCAGCTCCTACGTGGAAGAGATTCCCTAGGAGGTATATATAAAATCCTAGGAACGAAAAAATCGGAACCCCTGTGATGAAGGCGCCACTTCTCCCGCCCCCCTGATCGAGCCAGTTCTCCCGTCACATTCAAAGCTAAGGCGCCAATTCTCCCGCCGCCCATCCAGTTTTTTTTTTTATGAATGGCCTCTGAAAGGCAAAGCCCACAACAAAAAAAAAAAAAAAAAAAAAAAAAAACGGCTGCGCGCGCGTGCCCCAAGATCTCCAAAGACGCTGTCACCTGCTTCGCCATCGCCGCCAAAGCCGACGCCGTCTTTGCCCATCCGCGTCGCCACAGTAGTCGTCGCCTGCCGCCGCCAGCCACATGCTGTCTGCTTCACGCCCGCCATGTACTGGCGTCAGCACTGCCCGCTCGCTCTGTCGCCCTTTGCACTTTAACCAGCCGCGCCATGTGGTCACGCTTTGCCCAATATTGCCAGCTTGTGCGAACTGCCTGCCGCCCGGCCTGCCCGCCGCCCTTCCCCAAGACGCTGCCTCCCCAACCCGCACCCTCCTCGAGCTGCCTCCCTCCCCAAGCCGCCGCCCTTCCCAAGCCGCCGTCCGCCCTCCCCAACTGCTGCGCCTCCCAAAGCCCCCTACACTGCACCCCTGCGCCCCTCACATCTCCACCTTAAGCCCTCCCCAATCCCCATCCCAAGCTTTCACTCCAATCACCCATTCTCGATCTGTCTGCCTCCCATTCCGTCCCTCCATGTCCTCATTGTTTAGATCTGTGGAAGCAAAGGATGGATTGATGAGGTAAGGTATTTTCTGGGGATTTCTAGTGCATTCTTGTGTGGACAAGCAGAAGAAGATTCACAAAGAATTGATATTGATGTATTATATTCAGTCTTCCCATTCCATAGTGGAGGCACCCCTTCACCGCTTGGTCGCCTGGAGCCAAGGAGGAGTCAAGGAGTAGGGCGGTGTTGCCGGAGCTCTGTTAGAAGAAGGAAGCACCACACATCTCAGAGAAAGAAGGCTTCACACCGCTTGTCACTCTTGAACAAAGGATTTAAGGTGAGAAGGAAAATTTCCTTTTCTTGCTGCTTTTTTTGTATTGTTAGCAGAATTGGCATGTCTAAAATATTTGATACGGTCTGTTCATTTCTGAAAAATTAGAAACTAAGAAGCTTAGCACTATGATAATTTTGGTGTTGCAATCTATTAGGTGAATATTCTTTTTTAAGTGAGTTGTCTACTGGGTTCAGAGAATAGTCAATATTGTGACTCATCTGATGCAGTCTAGAAATTTTGTTACTAGTAATAATCAGTATATGTTCTATATAAACTTGTTTGTCTATTAGTTTTAGAATACATGCACTAAATCATGTGAGTTACTTGCAAATTTTTCTGTTTCAGTTCATTGTCACAACAATAGCCATGTCAGTAGAAGATCGTAGTTGGATGTATGACGGCTGGAATGACAATGGTCGTCATTCCTCGGATTGGGTGCGAAATACAAATGCTTTCCTAGACCAAGCTTTCAATTCGGTTTCTAATTTGAAAAACTTGGAGTAGTGTGTCCGTGTTCAGATTTGTTTAATAGAGTTAGACGGAGAAGAGACGTCATGAGCATGCATTTGTGTAAAAGAGGGTTTATGCCTGGCTATTTTACATGGACTGAACATGGTCAGCGGCCTATTAGTCAGCCTACAATGGATTATGCGTACGATACTGCCGATGGTTTAGATCAAATGTTAGCTGATTGGGGTGATGCAATGCAAACAGATAGTGTAGAGCATGAACCAACAGCTGATGCTAAGGCATTCTATGCTTTGTTAGAAGCTTCAAAAGAGCCGCTCCATAGCTACACTAGTGTTGCACTGCAAACTGCTGTAGCACGCTTGATGGCAGTTAAGTCACAATACAATCTCCCCGTAGAATGCATTAATAAATTATTGGATTTGTTTGGTGATGTACTGCCTCAGAACCATAAGATGCCAAAATCTTTGTATGAGTGCCAGTGTCTTCTTCGTGGTCTAAAAATGCCTTACATGAAGATAGATGCTTGTACAAACAATTGCATGATATACTACAAAGAAGATAAGAACAAGGATAAATGTGATTTCTGTGGGGAGAGTAGATATGTAGTTACTGAACCAGCACACCAAGGGCAGAAACGAAAACCCATACCACGTAAGGTTCTACGATATCTCCCACTCATACCAAGGTTGCAGCGGTTGTTCATGGAGCCAAACACTGCAAAGCACATGCGGTGGCACAAGGAGGGTAGGCGAGCCAACCCAAATGTTATGGTGCATCCTTCTGATGCTGAGGCATGGACACATTTCAATACATCTTGCCCAGAGTTTGCAATGGACCCGAGGAATGTTCGGATTGCTTTGGCGACAGATGGCTTCAACCCATTTGGCTATGGAAAAGCTCAATATTCTTGCTGGCCAGTTTTTTCAATTCCTCTGAACTTACCTCCAGCTCTTTGTATGAAGGAGGAAAATATATTTCTTAGTTTAGTGATTCCTGGACCGGAGCATCCTGGCAAGAATATGAATGTCTTCATGCGGCCACTTGTTGATGAGATCAAGGAAGCTTGGCCAGGAGTTCTCACCTATGATAGCTTTTCAAAGCAAAATTTTCAAATGAAGGTTGCATATCATACTTCCATCCATGACTATCCTGGATTGGGTATGTTCTCTGGATGGTCAACACACGGTGGTTTGGCCTGTTTTGATTGTATGGCAGATGTGGACAGCACTTGGCTACCAAATGGGCACAAGTACAGTTGGTTTGATTGCCATAGAAGGTTCTTGCCAGCTGACCATAGTTTCAGGGACCAGAAGAATGCATTTAGGAAGGGCGTAGCAGTGTATGACACGCCTCCACATCGGTTAACAGGGCAAGAGGTGCTAGCATACATGAATGAAGTCAAAGAGAAATCATTTGAAGGTTATGGTACTGTCCACAATTGGACTCACATCCCATTTCTGTGGGAATTGTCATATTTCCCTCTACTTATGCGTCCACATCACATTGATGCTATGCATACTGAAAAAAATGTAGCTGAAGCTATTTTTGCTACATGTCTTGACATGGCTGACAAGACCAAGGATAATAACAAGGCTAGACTCGACCAAGCCTTGATGTGCAATAGGAGACATCTCAACCTTGTTGAGAAGCCAAATGGCTTGTGGGATAGGCCTAGAGCACCCTTTTCCCTAAACAGACCCCAGAAGGAGGTTTTGCAGTGGTTTAAGGACATCAAATTCCCTGATGGTTATGCATCAAACCTAAGGCGAGGGGTCAACATGGACACTCTAAAAATTAATGGCCTCAAAAGTCATGACTTCCATATCTTCATTGAGCGTTTGCTAGCTGTGATGATGCGAGGTTATGTCAAGAATGAGATATGGGAGGTCCTTGCTGAAGTGAGTTACTTTTTTAGAGTGCTTTGTGCAAAGGAGGTTGATCGTGCCCAGATACGTCAACTTGAAGCAAACATACCTATTTTACTTTGTAAAATGGAGAAAATCTTTCCACCTGGTTTCTTCAATTCAATGGAGCATATAATGGTGCACCTCCCATATCAAGTTAGGGTAGGGGGGCCTGTAAAGTACACATGGATGTATGGAGTTGAGAGGTATACATTTAGGACTTCTGTTCTTTTCCATTTGGCTATTATATTCAAAGAACTAATAGTAACTAAAACTGTTGTAGGTTGTTAAAAAAGGTGAGGGCAAAAGTTCGTAACAAGGCTCATGTTGAAGCATCAATAGTGGAAGGATGCCTTGTTGAGGAGATCACTAACTTAACATCATTATACTTACGATCTCATATCTAGCTCCCAAATCGGCCACAACGTTATGCTCATAATGTTGATCCATCCTGATTCTACTCTTAGTTTGTTCCAAGTGCGTGGATGGAAGAGTGGTAGAGGAACAACAAGGTTTCTAAATGTTGAAGAGTATAAGGCAGCAATGATTTATATATTCACAAACTTGACTGAAATGGATGAATATGTTGAGTGAGTGCACCAACTTAATAAACCAACTAATAACATTTATCATTACAATAATTCATGTTTTGTGTCCCATAGAAAATTTGAACAGGAACAATGGAGCCGGGCAAGACCAAGACCACCAAGCCGTAGACAATTGGACAATTTAAGGATTAATGGGGCTGGCCATGGCAAACCAAATTTGCTTGAATGGTTTAGAAACATGGTACTAGCTAATTGACCAATTCGTGTAGTTTTATACAAAAGAATGTATAATCTGGATACACTTTAATTTTTAATTGTAATATTGCGATTGTGACATGGATGCAAGCATACCTAGTGAATAAATGCGTTTATCACGTGGATGTGGCCTCAAAGTCAAGTCATATGATATTTATGAAGTTAATGGGTACAGATTTAGATCTGAAAAGTATGAAAAATCTAGAGGGAACCTAACTACCACCAACACGGGAGTGCTTGCTGTTGGTGATGATGATGGTAGCAACAATGAGCTTGAGTATTACGGTATTATCAAAGACATTATTGACTTAAAGTTTGCTGCTCAGTGCTCCTAGGGAGCATCCTATATTATGCAAGAATCACTGCAACAATGGAACATTTTCGCGAAGTGGAGAAAAGAACTATTTGTGACAAGCTTGCTGGACAGTTCTATTTGAAGCGGGAGGAGTATGCTGCACGATGCCCAACTTGGTGTAAAGAAGCTTGCTGGGATGTTCTGGCCCTGGAGTGGAGCGGTCCAAAATTCAAGGACAGATAGGAGAAAAACCGTGCCAATCGCTACAGCCGTAAGTTTAAACCACACAAAGGAGGGTCCAACTCTATTGCAACAATAAGACAGAAATTGGTTAGTGTCCAATTACTAAAATTTTGTTGTTAACTTTTTTGCAGTAACAATTAATTTCAGATTCTTGTTATTATTGTAGTCAAAGAAATTAGGAAGACAAGTATGTGAGATAGAGGCATGGGTCCATACTCATAGAGGTTCAAATCCTGAAGATATTACTTCACTCAACACAGAAGAGGCAACTGCATGCTTGGTAAGTGCAGTATTGTGACAATGGAAAGTAAAATGGAAATTGTGATATACCTTCTCTCTTTTCGGAGCTTAGGATTATAAGCATTTGCAGCTACTAGCTCATATAGAACACTACAGTTAATGTTGAATGCTGGCAGCAGCTTATTGTTGCAAGCTGTAGTGCTTGTTCCTACTTCTCATAGCTGCTTGTTTCTACTTGTCATAGCTGCTTGTTCCTAGTATGGTACATGGATTCTGTACAACAAGAATTTTAACCAGTTTTAGCTAGATTTTAATACTATGGTTTCAGTACATATGAATTGCTTCTATACATATGAATTGCTGGCTGTTCATATGAATTTAGCTCGATTTTAGTAGGTTTCTGTACATATGAATTGCTGATCTCTCTTTTACTTCTTTGTCAAATGCCCACACATTATTTTATTTATGTGGCAGGAGAAATACAAAGCTAAGGCCATGGAACTAAATGGACCAGATTTTGATTGGTTGCACTCGCCGGTTGATGTTAGAGCTCTTTATGAATGCTCTTGTGGCCGCCCACATGGAAAATGGGCTACATTTAATGGGATGGTCAATGACAAAGAAGTCCTCCCTGACTTAAGGAGAAGTCGTGAATCGGCAATGGCTGCTAGGCGTCAACGCCAAGAGGAAGATGAGCGATTAAGAAGGGAAGCTCATGATGGTCGTGTGGCCAAGGAATATGCCCAAAATGTGTCGGCGTGGAGTACAATGGTACATGCTTACACTGAGAGCATGCAAAAATTTATGGAGGTGACGTCTCACATGCATCCTTTTTCTATCCATCTTATTGCCACTTGAGTTACATGTTAATCAGTATACATATACATTTGATTATTGAACTGTAGAGAGTTTTTGAGGTAAATGGTTTGCCCTGTCACATACATTCTCGCTCCCATCCCTCCACCACCACTGTGCTCTCCCTGTGTATGCCGATGTACCACCTGTGCCTCCTGTGTATGCCGATGTACCATCTTCAAATCCATCTCCTAATGATGTAAGTCTAATTGTACTGTTTTTGTGTGTTGTCTTTGTATAATTGCTGGTTTGAAGGGCTGCAACTGCAGTTATTTGTAGGGCTGTAGCTGCTACATTTGCCCTGCATTGGCATATTACTATACTATATGTTTGACTGCAGTTATTTGTAGGGCTGCTGCTGCACCATTTGCCTTCTATCCATTGTTCTGTCTCTCTCACGTGCAGCATGATGAGCTGTGAGCTGCAAATGAGTGCGATTCTTCTAGCAAAAATACATGTCTGCCATAGCATTAGCATCTTGATTTCCAATTTCCATTACATGGTGTGCTTCCATCTTTTATTTATTAATGTTAACTGTTGTACACATCTCGGCTAGTCTTGTGAGACCTATTTTCAAATGCTATCTTTGAACCTATTTTTTGGCATAGCGTTTACCATGAAGTTTCCACTTATATTTAATAAAATCCCATTTGTTCAATTGAATAGGCTTGTACTGGTGGCTCTTGTCTTTGGGATAGAAAGTCCTGAAGAAACATTGAGTAGGATTGCTCAAGGAAGATCTCCGTGGCCATGAAAATGCGGGGAACTACAAGCGGTGGTGGCAACTACTCTCCTCCGACCGACGAGTTTCCATTTTTCTGAAAACTTATGCTGCCAAAACATGGCACTTATCTTTTGTCGCCAAAACATGGCACCTATATTCTGTTGCCAAAACTAGCATGGATTAGACAACTCCATTTGAGTTAGTGATTAACTGTTAGATGGACAGCTATTATCAGTGAACACCATAATTGTAATGTGATAATGCACTGTTTGAGCTGAATGCATTAAATTATTGCTGATGGTTGTCAACGTGTTCAAATTTAAATTTTGTATATGAAATCATTAGAATTATTTGAGGTCAAATATGGTGCCATGCCAGATTTATTTCCCTACAGATCAGTTTCCTAGGGAACTTAAGTTCTAGGGACAAACTTTACACGTTGGTTTTGTGTTCTTGTGTCAGCATGCGCAGCAGGTTCCCTAGGGAGCCTTTTTCCTAGGGAAACCAGAATCCCCTACGGTTCCCAGACAAACTGTAGGGCACCTTCCTATTTCCCGTCAACATGTTCCCTAGGACTGTTTCCCTACGAAATACGGTAGGGGATCAGGTTCCCTACGGTTTTAAGGCTTTTCCCTAGGAATTTAAACTCTAGGGAAACTCGTAGTTTCCAGTGAGGTGGTGGCCGTGGTGCAGGGGCCCGGCGCCATCGACGGCGTGGACGGGGAGGACGTCCCTAGGGGCGCTCCCGTGCCGGAGGTGGCAGCGCCGGCTGCGGTGGCGGTGCCCGACGTCGTCGTTGTTGGGTGCGTGGAGGGCCGCGGGGATGGGGCGCTCCAGCGCCGGAGGTTGCTGCGGAGGTGGGGTGCACCATCGTCGGCGTTGGAGGTGGCATCCCAGCGCCAGCCGCGGTGGCTACGGTGGCTGTGCCCGGCGTCGTCGGAGGCAGGAGCGTGGAGGAGGCGGGAGCGTGGAGGGCTGCAGAGGCGCCCCAGCACCAAATCCCGTCAGGGAGGCCTCGGAGCTGCTGCTACCGGAGGCGGCAGCCGCGGCGGCGGGGTCCGATTCCAGCGGCGGCACGGACGATTGGGGATCCCCCAGGCCAGTGCCGGATCTCGCGGCGGGTGTACTGCATCATATAGGTTAGCTGTTGGAGAAAGGAATTTTTGGGTGGGAGACTCAGTCACTGTGCGTGACCCAATTGTTAGAATAGGTCTGGTGTTTGGGTTTGAACTGTTGGAGATAGCCTAATAAGGCCACAAATGTGACGTACTCCTCGCTGTGTGCCCTCTTCGACGGGAAGGCTATCTCCAACAACAACACCCAAAATATAAGACATATTCATCCTTTGGGTAACGCTACAGGCAAAAACGCCGTGTTCGGCTGGGGTTGGGCTGGCCAGCCCCCTCACATGGACACTGTTCTAATGAACCAGCCAGCAGTACTTCTCTCTCACATAAACGAATCAGCAACGATACGAACCAGCCAACCGAACAGCCTGAAGGTTTACAGGAGAAAGGATACTCATATTTGGGTTGTGTCTCTTAGGCAACCCAAAATAGGTCTCACGTATAGGTACTCTGCTGGAGGTTAATTTTAGGCCTCTTGCTACATATTTTGAGTTTTGGTGCTCATTTAGATCACTTGTTGGAGACGGTCTTCTAAGCCTCATGCTCTGCGTCTCCATTCTCTCTGCTATGCTTGTACGGAAATCAGAGAAGCCAAACAGGATTGTGTGATTGAGCAGTCAAGCCTTTATTCGACCAGGGAAAAAAAAGACAAGCCAACGCCTTTAATTCGGACAGGAAACTTAAAAAAAAAAGAGATTAAAAATACCGATCACTACGGCTTACTATGAAGCCACCAACAAGAGTGACATGGACCTAATATGGAAGATGGGGCTAGCTGACTGCAAGGCAAACCAAAATGTGAAATTCATTTTTTAATTTGAAACTTCTGGAACTCCTGGTTCATTGATAAATTATGTTCTTGATCAGATAAATTCGAGTGACAAAAAAAAAAGTGTGCTTGAAACATATACAGAAACTAAATATGTGTCTCGTACAGGTACAGGCAAAAATAAGGTGAACGACCCAAGCCTATACTTAAAGCTATTTAGAATCTTAAAACCAGTAGCAACCACGCAACAAAGCTAGTCTGCAATCCAGCGCAACAACACAGAAAACATAAATTGCTACAGCTCTTTTTTTATTCAACCTCGAGGTAGACAACAGACACGTTTTATCAGTCAGATGCCCAAGACCAAAGTAGCCAACCCATCAACCTCATGCAGACTGATATCTCATTCTAATTGCTGCTACCACTGTCCTCTTGATGTGCCACTTCTTTTTCACGGGTCTGTTCCTCCTTATCAATCTGCTCCTCTTCTTCCTCTTGATGTCTCACACTGTTTGGAAAAATAAGATGAAGAGTTTGGTGAGGAAAATGGGGTCACATGAATGTAGAACTGACTGGTACCCTAGTGTAACTTTATTTGATACCTCTAGTTCAGTCTCTCCATCAATAGCTTGGTTTGCTTGCTCCTCTCTAATTTGCCAAAGTTTGAGCCACCGATTCAATAATCCCCCCCACTTTTCATTCAACTCCCTCAAAGCCTAGAAGAGAAGAGACAAATTTTTTAATTATTGAACGGCCATGTATATATATGGTAGATGGAAGTAAGAAGTATGCATTGGCCGCAGCTAGAAGGGAAATGGAAACGGAAATATAAATAAGAGAGTCGAAATGAACTATTTAACTGCACAGCCAAGTAGGAGTAGTTGCTAAATGGAAGAGAGGAGTATGTGGTTGCAGCAACTGAGAGGTTGATGGAACCATCAATGCATGTTGTTATGTGAGGGAACTTACAGATTCGAAATGTTTGCAGTCAACTGCTTGTATTTTGAAGCTGGCAGTGGGACGGTTGGGAAGTGTCTCGATGGCAGCATTAATGGCTCTTGAAATACATCGGACAGGGTCATCACGATCATCTTCCACTGGGTTGTAGTCCACGTCATACTCATACCAGTAGCTACCAATTTCTATCTCAGCCTTGTTGAGGGACGAGAGGTGCTGGATGCCCAAACTAGAAGCACCGTTCAGGCACTCATGCGCATTGAACTCAAGCTTCACGTGCTCAAGCTTTGGCATTGATCCCGCTTGAAACTCCAGGGAGGTCCCACACTTATCGATACGCAGGGAGAAATATTTTAGACTTCTGAATCCGCTGTTGCCAGGGAAGACGATCCTTCCGCCAGTGCCCCCGACACTGTCTAAGTTGAGAAAAAGCAAACTGGGTATTTCTCCAAGGATCTCAACATCTTCTGGTCTCACACATATGACCGCCAGTTTTAGCACACTGAGGTTTACAAGTGATCCCATCCAATTTGGCACCCTATAGATGGGAATTCTTTCAATGCAGAGCTTGCGGATGCTACAGGAGGCTGCAGGGTGCCATGAATGTAGCGGCAGTGGGTACACTATAATGGAGTCGCAAACATTGGTATATATAAGATGATGCAGGTTGCATGAAGATAATAAATTTCCAACATAACTGTGAATGCGCTTGGCTTGGCTTCTTTCTTCTGAGCCATTTGGTGTATCAACATCGCATCCAATTTTTAGTGTCCTCAGCTTGGTGAGTTTGCTGAATTCTTGTATGGACTTCGCTTGCCCGTAGGATTGGACTCCATACCTCCTCAGCTCTTCCAAGCTGTGCATCTTTCCTATTGTTCCTTCTGGAAATCTAGTATAGCACTCAACATATAAACGAGTCAGTTGTTGAAGTTCCGTGATAGTTCGTGGTAGTTCTTTGATGAAGGTGCCTCGCACATCCAACGTCTGTAGATGATGTAGTTCACCAACAGTCTCTCGGAGCCTAGTTATGAAATGTGAGCAGAGACGCAAGTACTTAAGATTAAACAACTTCCCAATACTTGCAAGATGATGGTTTTGCATGCCCATACATTCTCGTAGGTCCAACACACGAAGAGGAGTGGAAGGCAACAAAGAGATTTTCACAGGCTCTCCAAATATAGTAACTGACCGAACATGAGACAAGATCTGGTCTGCCCATAAAGTAACATTTTCTTCATTGTCGTTGCTCACACAAAGCCTACGAACCTTGTATTCTGATGTATATACAGGCTCTGCAGTATCTAATGAAGTTACAAAATTCTCTTCAGCGGCCTTGCATTTGATGTAGTCAAGGATGATGTCATGCACTTGACATGCCTTCACCTGACCATACTTTACTCTAACAGGTTGGATCATGCTTCTGTTGATCAGATCATTGAAGTAACGCTCACCAATTTCATATTCATTTTGACCTTTTTCCTTATGAATGAACCCTTCTGCAATCCACCTATTGATCAAACATTGTTTCTCAATCTTGTGATCTTCTGGAAACACACTCAAGTACAACAAACAACATCTTAGATGGTGAGGAATATCAAAGTAACTCATAGATAATATGGCCGTCATATTCTCAGCACCAGGATTCTTAGCAAGAGAAGAACCAATATCATTTAGTACATTGTCCCATTCACCTTTTGCATGCTGATCAGCTAACATGCTAGATATAGTGATGATTGCTAATGGTAAACCATCACATTTTCTTAATATATCATCCGGAGCAGTACCCAAATGAGTATAGCATAAGTTTTCAGAACCAAATGCTCTTTTAAAAAGCAACCTCTTG